GGTTGTGGTGCTGGGGGATCGAACCGCGGTCCCTGTGCTTTGCCAAGCTTGTTCCAAGTAGGTGCTTTAGACCACTGAGCCATCTCGCCAGCCCCTGGTAGCAGTTCTAATGTGGCTTTAGTCTCCATTTTCCCAAGAGGTAGTGATGCCGAGCATTTTTTCCAGTTTCTTGTTTTACCTCTGAGTCTATTTTAATGAAATATCTCTTCATGTCTTTTGGCCTCAATTTCAGTGATCTTCCTGCCTCTCCCAATGCTGAGATGACAGACCTGTTCTACCACACCTGACCAACATTGAGAATTCAGGGGGACCCCTCCAGAGGCCCAGAGTCTAGGAGCAGCACCTGCTGCTGCAAATTGCCTAGCAGTTTTCCTGTCACCTGCTCTCATTACCTTTCTGTCCTCCGGTGCAGCCCACAGGATGTGCTGCTGAGGACCCAGATGCGCATCCCAGGGCAGAGGGCCTATGGCCCTGCTGTGGATTTGGTGTGGGACACCACCCGAGGCAGCACTGCTGGCGCCCTGCGGCAAAGAGTGGCTGAGTCCTATGCTCTTCCTGTGGAGAAAATTGAAATTGCCAAGTACTTCCCAGAAAAGTTTGAGTGGCTTCCAATCTCTAGCTGGGTAATGTCACAGGACCTTCTGGGAGGCACAGGCCAGCTGGCATGGGGATGGGGTTGGAGTGGGCCAGTGTTTGAGAATGGTAGAGAACTTAGGAGGAATTTCAAGAGGAGTTTTAAGATGTTTGATCTTCCTATAGAACCAGCAAATTACCAAGAAGAAAAAGAAGAAAAGGCAAGATAATTTGCAGGGGGCGCCCTATTACTTGAAAGATGGAGACACGATTGGTATCAAGGTGGGTAGTTCAGCAGCTACTTTGCAGCTCAGACAAGACAGGGGGCTCGTGTGATTTAATAGGGATGCTTTAGCAGGTCGTCAGAATACAGATGACCCTCTGTAACCAGATGGCTCCACAGAGTGCGTGAGAGAGAATGCCAGGAATGCACTGAAGGACGGTAGGAGCTTGGTATCAAAACTGCAGCCAAAGAAAATTTAGACCAGATATGTTTATGACCATAAATGTAAAAATCGAAATAAAATACTAGCAAACAAAACTGCAAGTACATTTTCACAAACACTTCTATGTGAACCAGGCATGGTGGCACCTGCCTGTCACTCCAGTACACAGAGGCTGAACAGGAGACTTGCTGATAGTTCAAGGCCAGTCTGGGCTGCCAGATTTCTCCAACAGTCAGATCAGCTCATACATTATTTTTTTGCCCCAAAAGATACATTAGGGCTTATTTTCAGTGGATTTCTTTATTTTCTCATGTATAACAATTTATATTTATTTATGTCCAACAGTCTACATTTACTTAAATATAAACCTTGTTATAACTCTCCAAAGCCCAAATTCTGGCCCAGATTTTTCTGTGGTTCCTGTAGAAGCACTGGCCCACTGCCCAGACCCAGGCTAGAGCATCCCGTGCGTGAGTGCTTCTCGTCTGTGAGCCACTGAGATGCCATTGCCTCATCTCCACATGTGCGTGGCCCTTGTGCACTGCCCCACTCCTGGGGCATCATCGGGAAGTCCCTGTCCAGCGCTTACATGGGTGTTTACCTCGCAGCCAAAGGCACCCACTTGGGTATTTGCGAGTACTTATAATCGATCATATCATTGAAGTACTAGAATATGTCCATCTGGCTGGTAATGTTAACTGGGGCTTATTTTGAGGGTAGGACTTACAACAAACATCCTGAAAAGTCAGGCTGGGGCTTATTTTCCAGTTAGGTCTTATTTTCAGGGAAATGCAGTACATAAGCAAGAGCCTGTCTCAAAATAAAATTTTTAATGCTCGATGTGACAGAAAAGTTTATGTAAGGGATACAAAGTTAACAATCCAAATGTATCACGTGAGGCCACAGTGCTCTCACCTGGGTATCTGCTGCCCTCACCCCTGCTCTTACTTGCAGTTTCTTTTTTTTTTTTTTTTTGCGGAACCGGAAATTGAACTCAGGCCCTTGCACTTGCCAGGGAAGCGCTTATTCCACTAAGCCATCTCCCCGGCCCTTACTTGCAGTTTCTTACAGCTTTTACAAGAGTAGCACACATAGCTGATTGGGACAGAAACTTTATCACAGGCCGAAGGGCTGCAGTTCCTGGGCTCAGGGGAGGGGCCACCCTCCTGTAAGGCCATCACTGGGGTCAGGAGTCTCAGCCCCTAGAGCCATGTAGTCTGCACCTCTGATCGTGGCCACTGGCCTGGGAGCCCTCAGGAGACCCTTTCCTGCCCCCTCCTTGCTAGGGTCAATAATCACATCCATTACTGAGCAGCCAGCCCAGCCTCTGATTCACGCTGTAGCTATGGAAACACGCAGGTAACCAACAGCTAGATAGGCCACTGCCTGTTCCTTTATTTTTTTATTTTTTTTTTAAACATTATTTTAAATCTTTATTTGTATGTGTATTTGGTACAGGGTCTCACTACTCAGGTCGGACTCGCAATGATCGTCCTGTCTCAACCTCCCCAGCGCTGGGATTGCAGGCATGCACCACCACACCTAGTTTTGGTGGCTGGCATGGTGGTCCAGGCCAGCATGGCATGTGGTACCAGGAATCAAACCCGGGTCCTTGTGCTTGCCAGGCAGGCGCTTAGACCGCTGAGCTATCTTCCCTCCCTGCCTGTTCCTTTAAACTAAACACCTTTGGTTGGCTGGTCCAGACAGAGCATTTGTAGTGGAGGGCAAAGGTCGGGCCCCTGGAAATTGATTTCTCCAGGGAAGATGTCCCTGCCCACCCCCAAATGTGTTTTCATCAAGCACCAGCATGGGTTTTATCACTTATTAATCTAATTTGTGTTTATTTGAATATTTGCACCTAACTTAGGTTTCAAAATATCTCTTGTAAGTACAGGCTGAGCAGATGTCTGAAAATGTTGCTCATTACTTATTTTGTAACATAGAATCTCCTAGCTGACGAAGACGAGGATTTTAGTACAATCAGAGATGACATCGGAAAAGAAAAATTGAAACAGCTGGCACTGGGGAAAAGGCACAGGTAATGCTTCAGTCCGGGGCTCCCTGACCTCTGTGACCCCCCCCCCCATCAGCTGCTTTCAGCACAGCGCCCTGCACACCCCTCACACCCCTCTGCCCTGTCCCTGCTTCCTGCAGAGCTCTCCTGGGCCAGGCGGCCTTGGACCAGCTCCCAGCAGACCTCTGCTGCCTCCTCAGGGCTTTGCCATTCAACTCCTCCTCCATATGCGATCTTGTCCGGTGTCCAGACTTTCGGTTCAAAAATTGGCCTTCCGAGCCCATGTTGTGCAGGCTGCAGCAGCGCCTCGACTCCTGTCCACACTCGGCCCTGAGCCACTGCTCCCAGGCCACTCCGTGCTGCCTCCTCAGCACACAGTTCCCAGCCCACTGCCAGGACACCCTCGCGCACTTCTGCTCAGTGAGCTGTGACTGCCTGAGGACCCAGGCCCCCTTCTGTCCCCATGGCCATGCAGATACCTAGCCTGGACCTGAGCCTGAGTCCTGGGGTGTGGGTAGGAGGTTCTGTTACCTGGCTGGCCTTGCTCACCTGCTAGTCCACCCCCCCCACTCTGGATATGTTGGGTACCAGTGTGGTGGGCAGTGTGCCTGTGGAAGCCACAGAGGGTGGGGGTGGCAGGCCCGCTGCACAGGCAGCTCCTTCTGGCATGGCCTGAGGCCTTTGGGCTTGGGCAGTGGGGAGATATAACCTGATGCCTGGTTTAAATCCCAGTGCTAGGGAGGCTGAAAACAGGAGTCTGAGCTGCGTAGTGAGAACCTGTACCAAATACATAAAATTTTAAAAAAGAAAAAGATCACCTGTGCTGCTGGGTAGTGTGAGTTTCAGAGAAAAGAGTAGAGCCAGGGACTGGCAAGACTGACACTTAAGCGAGGGTGATAGGTGGCAGCAGTAGGAGAGAACATCTAAAATGTGTCCCAAGCACGGAGTTGGCCTCTTTTTCAGCTGCCCCTTGGTGCAAGAGCAGCCGCTCAAGGAGCAGTATGCTGGGAGTGCACTCGCCCTTCACCCTTGGCCCAGGGTGTGTGCAGACCCCAAGGGTCCAGAGTCATCTGGGCTGCTGTCTCAGGCCACCATCTTAGCCACAAACAACTGCTACTCTCAGCACCGGCTCCTACAGGGCCCGCCCTCCATGCCCCAGACCTCAGGACCTCTTCTCCCCACCCTCTGCCCTGGTCAACCCTTCCCCAGGGGATATGCATCCTTGCTCCATTCCCAGCTCTGCATCTTGCAAGACCTGGTGCCCTGCAGCAGCCTGGGTGACAGGACTCCCAAGTCAAATCCTGCCCACAGTGCAAACTCAGGTACCGAGACAGAGCTGTCCTTCAGGACTCTCACCTGCTCCTGTCAGGTCCCTGAGTCTCGAGTGGGCTCTCATTTTGCACCATCCAAGCTTCCAGGCGCTATCACTGAAAATCACGCACAGCACGTGAGCACAGGCAGCCCCTCAGGAGCCCAGGATAAACCAGCTGATCTGGTACTGCCTTCCCTTTATTTCCATGTTTTTTAGAGTTGTGGTAACATGCTTCCAAATTCAAAAGCCATGAAGGAGATTCCTGTGAAGTTTACCCCTCTGTCAGCCTGGCCCTTCAGGAACTGTCACCTGTGCATCCTTTCAGAGGGAGCACATAGAGCAGCACCAGGAATACCGTGCCTGCTGCCCCAGGGCTGGGGCCCCCACTCGGCCCACGGGGCCTAACTGATGTGGGCGCATGTGCAGGGCATGTCTGTGGGAGCAGAGTGGCTGTGTCAGAGGATGCAACCATTGGTAGCTTCAAAAACATACTTGTGAATAAAAAGACAAGCCAGAGGTAGAGGGAGGAAGTATGAACAGACACTTCACAGGAAAAGAAGTACAAAAACTGCCACCAGCCAGGCATGGTAGCAACACCTGTAATCCCAACTCCTCAGGAGGCTGTAGGAAGATTGAGTTCAAGGCCATCCTGGGCACCTCAGTGAGAACCTTCTCAAGTGGATCAGTTCTCCCTGGGTTCCACCCACAGTAGTGCAAAAAGGAAAGTTCAGCCTATTCCATCCATAGAAAAGACATGCAGATTCAAGGTCCTGTGAGAAATACACCTCTCACCAGCATTACTACAGCTAGGCCAGCCCAGCAGTGGTGCAGCATCCTGGGGACAGTGTCCCCTGCTGATGGCCATGGCCTAGAACAGGCACCTTCCAGGGCACAGGCCCCAGGCAAACAGGAAGCCAGGTAGCTTCTGCACAGGCCAGACACAGGCACAGCGGGATACTGCCCCACAGGAGGACAGGACTGGCCTGCACTGCAAGTGGGCTGTGCAGACAGGAAGGGCAGCCAGCAACAACACAGTGCCCACATCCTGGAGTCGGTGTGGTCACAGAGGGCAAGGGGATCCTGTTGCTTCTCAGAGTAGGAAGCCAGGGACACAGGGGCGGCCTGTGCTGTCACATAGATGTGTGTGACTGTCCAGTTCATGCCCTGAGTGTCTAATTCAGAGGGGTAGAAAGCGCTCTCTGCCATGAATAATGACCTCTCAGGCAGACTAGAAAAGACCCGGAGTCTGATAGGCCTTGTGTCCTCACTCATGGCCTGGGCAGGATGCACATGGGCTCCTCTAAGGTGGTTTGGAAATCCTTGCCCAGTTTGAATGTGTGTTCTGCGGCCTCCTTTGATGTGGGGGGTCCTTTTTCAGCCCCTTGGCTGAGAATCTGTGAGTCAGTGCCGGCCTCTGTCTCCACAGCCGAAAAGCCCTTGGAGCTCAGAACAGCGACATCTTTTCCAGCGCTGGGACACCCACTCAGCCCCGAGGACCGGAGGCCTCTCTGTCCATCCATGTGGGTAGCTTCAGATAACACAGGCCAGACCTCCATGGCATCGCCTCCATGATGTGACCGTGTGGTTTTGTGGCTGTATAAGCTTGAACCCAGGCAAGCACACAGCATGCTGGGCTCTGTGGCCCTCAGCACAGTGCCACTGATGCCAGCCCCGCGACACCCTGCCCTGTGGCCTTCGTATGCCAAGCTCATTGCTGGGTGCCCGTGGGACACCAGTAGCGTAAAGCAACGCCCTCATGCAGCCACTGTTGAGTGTGAGTGCGTGCGTGATGCAGGTGCAGAGCCCTGAGGAACAGAATCTGCCTCCCGGCATCGTCCCTGCCATCGCTTACAGCTGACTTTCCTCCAGGCTGAGCCAGAACTATGATGGCCACAGCGGGCTGAATCAGAGCTCAGAGTGATCTCACTGCCACCGCCTCTGTCAGGAAAGAGGCAGACAAGGTGTCACAGCCACGGCCAGTGTTAGGGATTGGCTAAGCTGGATTCCTGAGCAGCCTCATTAAAGTAGATGAGAAAATAAAGGCTAACGTTTGGGGGGTTTTGCCAGTTGGTGTTTATAACACAGCACCGATATTCCTGAGCTGACTTCCAGACCCTGGGCACATGAATGTGGCATAAGCATCATCCCTAAGACAGATGCCTTGTTTGTCCTCTGGTTGTACGTGTCTCAGCCATGAGACACAGCTGAATGTGGTGATGGAAGAGACTGGCACTGGCTTGGCACCCAGTCATGCCCTTACAGCCTGGTGCAACATAGCACTGGCCTTTCAAGGCAGCCCTGACTCTGTCCTCCTTCCCAGCATCACTGAAAGGAACCTCCGTCCCACCTGTGCACCCAGCTAAGGAGCTAGGCCACAGGGTCTGGCTTGGGATCTGGGAAGCACTGGCAGGCCCCATTCCCACACTGCGGGTGTGGGGTCCCCCATGGGCCTTTCATCGCACTCTCCCAGCCTGCCACAACCCATGAGTTGCTTCATGGAGCTCTGACCCACTCGTGCCTCGCAGCAGATAGCAAAGGCAGCAGCCTCAGGCCCCTCCTGAGGCCTGCTCAGGCCTGCCTTTTTCACTTGGGGGATGGCATAAGGTAAGCATGGAGAGGTCTAAGATCTTATTAAAAGACAACCTAGTCCTTCTCTGTCATGCTGACTGCTTCTGGCTCTCACCTGGGAGCAGCTTGCTTCCACTTTACTGAGGAACTTGGCACAGGTTGTATTTGGGAGCGCTGCATGGGTCCTGCTTTGGAAGTCGCAGACATGTGCTTCAGTCTGAAATCCATCTGGACTCATAGCAGAGCTGTGTTGAACACTGCCATCTGCTCCCCTTCCTCCTAGGGCCCAGGACCAGCTGTGGTGGCACAGCGCAGGAAGCAGACTATTACGCTGTGATACCAGCTGGCCAAAACAGCGACTTCATAGGCACAGACAAGGGACCCAGGACACCACCCCTTGCCCCTCTGGCTGCCTGAGAGGCAGAAACCGGCTACCTCCTCCTGCTCCCAATCTCAGTCCTCGCCACAGCACAGCTGTCCCCGGGTTCAACAAGCCACAGGGCATGGTTCTTCCTTCTGGGTGTGTACTGTGACCCCACCCCACTCCTAGCTCAAGGTTAACCTCGCGCACCAGACCCCATATCCTCAGGAAGATGATGGCTTTCAATTTTGCTTTGCAGCCACCAATTTGACCTATTTTGGAACAGATGAAAAACTACTAAATTCAATTAAGAATATATCATTTTGGGTCAGAGCAGAGTAAGGCAAGAACTCTGACCACAGAAGAACAAAACCAGGCTCATTTATTTGTACACACAACTTATGTACAGCTCTCCAAAGGGACTATGTACATATCCACACACGAGGCACCTGCGTCCGGTGCTCACCGTATAAATTAGTATAAATATGAGGGGGTGCGCCCTGGGGCACAAAGCCTCTTCTCCAGGACCCCTGGGGCCCTCCCCTCCCCACCTTCCACACAGGACTGCAGCACCCTGCGACTTCAGGTCACCAGCCTGTACCACCACCAGGGACTGCACAGCAGGCAATGGGGGCCACGTAGGCCCATTGCCACCAGAGGGGTCCCTGCACACTTGCACTGGGCCTTCCACTACTGACTTAATTAGGCAAGTGCTTTTCACATAAACTGCCTCTCAGTAACTGTCCTGACCCAAACCCAGGGCTTTCCAAGAGGACATGGAAGATGCAGGGCAGCCGTCAGCTGCTCTTCCTCCTGACATTCTCTCCTAAGCTCCAGGCTGTTGCAGGTCTTGCCCTGACTGGGCCAGCAGGTACCAGACACACTTCTGCCACCTGAGCCATTTCCAGCCCCTGCTACTGGGACTACCACCAGGGAGACTGTGGTGGGGTGAACCACACACACAGGACCAGTGCAAGTACTTTGCCTAACACTACTTCCATAGGTGCTTGGCCCACGTGCACCAGGTTCTGATAAACATGCAAGGACAGGAGACTGCACAAGTAGAAACCAAGCATGGGGCAGGCAGGGCAGGAAATGGGCCATCTGCACCCCTACCCACGCCCCCCCCCCAAGTTCCCAGACTGGAAGGATACCAACAAGAACACCCCAAGCCCAGCCAGGTCTACACCGAGCCCTGTGAGCACCTCTGGACAAAGCCCTTAGCAAATTCCCTACCCAGCCCACCACATCACATGGGGTAACAAAGGGCCAGGCCAGTGCCTGTGCCCGGCCTCTGGAGCCACAGCCTGACAGACACACGCACACACGTGACAGGGTCCCAAAGCCCTTTCTGGTACTGTTTAGCCATTCCTGAAAGGGAAGAAGCAGGCAGTGGCATGAGGAGCCCGCTGCGGCCTCCTCAAGGAGCAGCCCAGGCACTGGCACCATTGGCATGGTCAGCGCTGCTCAGGGTGATAAGCTCACACCTGGACAGGTGCAGGCAGGAACAGCATGGGCCTCAAGCCGTGCAGCCCCACAGACACCGCAGGGACTCCAGGTCTGGAGGCAGGAGACAGGAGGCCGCCACGAGCCCAGAGATTCTAAACCTGGAAACCTCCTTGTCCTCCACCAAAGTACAGGAAGACACCAACCCCACCCCACTCACTGTCCCCTTCTACAGCTTGGGAGGATGACACAGGCTGACCCGGGCTTGGTGGGGGCTGCATCTGCCAGAAGCAGGGCTGCTGCCCACATTCTCAGGCAGGAGGGCACTTCTCTTCCATATTAAAATGACCAAAAGCACATCCAGGTCTCAACCCAGCAATGTGCACATGCTGTGTTCAAAACGCCAGGAACAAACAAGGCAAGAGCAGTAGGCGGCCTTGCGGGGCTGCCGTGGAAAACCACGGGGTGGCCGTCAGGCACCAAGGACATTCTGGCGTGAGCCTCCATGGACTACACCCAGTCATGCTTCTGAGAGACAGCAGGGTGAAGGTGGCCACCTGATGTGACTGACCAAGGATGTGTGGGGAGGAGCTCCACAGGACAACCAGTTTCTGCCGAGCACATGGTATGCCAGAGGTCAGACCTCACATGATCCCACACCCACAGCAGGGTCGTGCAAGTCTAGAGTGGCAACGCCATTTGCGCTGTGACTCTGAGCTAGGAGAGGTGGCATTTCCAAGGTAGTTGTGTTGTTGGTATGTTCAAGACCAGAGCTGTTAGGAACAGGTGTCAGAGAGGCTTCCTGTCGTGAAGGGAGTAGCACCATTGGGAGGGCCCGGGGCCACCCAGGCCTCAGTCACCAGAGAGGTGGGGGATGCAGACAGAGAAGGCAGAGGCTAGGCCTCGGTGGCAGGGGTGCTGCGGCTCAGCTCCTTGATCCCACACAGGATCCTCTTCATGTGGCCCACCTTGGTCACGCCGAGGTCCTGCAACATAGAACAGCCACTGTGGACACACCGACAACCCTTCCCTGTTGGCTTTCGGACACAGATGAGAGTGAAAAGGATGTCAGAAGACAAGATGGAAATGGCAAATGAAGATCACACAGGAACCCAACACACGGTTCTTGGGTTCTACAAAGTCACCACCATGATCAAAGACAATCCAACAAGAAGCTAAAACAGAGGCCTGGAGTGAGGGTTGGGGCAGGTGGCCTCAAGGGCCCTGCTGTGACCTCCCTGTTCCGTGCGGAGGCGGCAGTGCTGCATGGAGCGGGAAGTGGGCAAGTCCATGTGTGATGATGGGCTGTGGGACCCAAGCCTGCACTCGCCCAGTCACTGTCCGACAGGGTCTGCTGTGGGCCCAGGGCTGCGAGCCTGGCCCAGTGGCTGGTGTTGAGCAGTCACTTACTGACTTGGCTAGGAAACCCAAGGCTTCCCTTGGGTTTGGTGGGCTGGCTCCTAGGCTGGCTTGGCTGTGCCACTTGGTGCCACCAGTGCCAAAGGCCAGAGCCCTAGCCACCTGTCACTCCGAGGGGCACAGAGGCCTGAGAAGGATGGTGAGCAGACTGTCGCCCAGGATGTGGCACAGCAGGGAAGAAGGGAGGAGGAGGAAGTCATGTGGAAGCCCGGTACAGGCGGGAGACGCCTGCAAAGTACCTTGAGGTCCCTGCGCTCCAGGTGCAGGAGCTCGGAGCCCCGGATGTCGTGTCGCGTGAAGATGTCCTTATACTCACAGAGGCTGAGGTGCTCCAGCCAGGCAGCAACCTCCTCTGTGCCCCAGAGGTGAACTGTCAGAGACGGAAAAGCACGAGTGCAGTGAGTGCCCAGAGCCCAGCATGAGGCAGGTGGCAGCCAGCAGCCGAAGACACCCAGCAGCAGGCAGCATTTGAACACCTTAGCAGTGACACCCTGGCCTACAGCCACACCCGCCACCCAGCCACAGGCAGCACCTCCAGCCATGCGCAAGAGAGGGTTGCAAGTAGCAGCAGTGCTGGCATCTGTGTGTGCTGGGGAACCACCAGCCTTCTGCACACCTCCACACCAAGAGGAATCAAACACCACCCTGTGCACAGGGCCATCTGAGTGCAGCTAGACCAGTGTTTCCTCTTGCTGTAGCACAAGGCCCCTCACTGCTAGGCTACAGCGTGGAGACATACAGGGCAATCTCAGGGTCAGAACCACCATCAACACAAGCCCAATTTCCGGACAATGTACAAAGAAAAATCAAAGGGGGCTGGCCCGAGTGGTGGAGGATGCCACCCCACACTCCAGGCCAAGGGCTGCCCGGCACCAGAAAGGCCAGACAGAGCTCAGGCCGATCTTAAGCCCCAATTTATGGACTGCAAGAAAGAGCACCCTTCCGTGCCATTTTCTACTGATTGCAGCACCCACAATCACCAGGGCCTGGATTCCTGGATTAGGGACCTTGATCAGCGATCAGGGAAACAGGCACGAGCAGCCCGTGAGAGGGAGCAGCACAGTCTAGTCCAGAGCGTCACGTCTCCAAGTCTGTCTTGTCACCTCTGCTCTCCTCCTTCCACCTAGAAGTCTGACACATGGTGGGCAGATGGCTCAGTGGCCATCACCCGGGTCTCCACAGAGAGTGTGACTGGGCTGGGTATGACCGAGGTCAGCACCCAGAAGGAACATAAGCAAGGGTGTGCTTCAGCAGTACAGAGAGGGGTACGGCGTGTGACTGGAGGTGACAGCACAAGGACCCAGGGAGAAAAGCAGGGCCAGGAGAATGGGCCAGGGTGGCAGGTGCAGGGGAGAGCGGGTACCCGGGCCTCCAAGGCTGCCATGAGCCTCTCTGTTCTTGTTGTTCTTCTCCTTCTTAAATTTGGTCACCAGGCGGAACTTGCCACTGCGGCTGCGTTTCGAGAGCTCCAACATCACGTTCTGCGGAGAGAGACCCCGTGACACCCACTCAGCCAGGGCCACAGTCCCACCTCTCAGAGGTCAGGCTGACTCCCAGATCCGCTCTTCGATGCACCCACTGCCTTTCGCCCATGTTGAAAAATGACTATAGTATCTACTTTTAATCACACTTCACTTTCTGACACAGGTGTTTTTCACATGGATGAAATTTTCTGGTATTTCTAACATCCATATATGCCATTATATGGCGACTCCTAAAAGTGACTTAGCCAGTGTCCTGCTGTTTGTTAGGCTTTGCTGCCAGCTCTGCACTTGGCATTCCCTCTAGGGCTGCGCACCACACAAGGGGGTGGCCCAGCCTTGCTTATGACAGCCAGCTTGGAGCCTCACTGCACGCTACACTCCTTATGCGACAGACGCCCAAACAGCCCAAGAGTGAATGATTAAGAACAGAGCAAGCAATTAGACACACAGATACAAATAGCACTGGCTGAGGAAGGGGCCGTGGAGTGAGGACAGAGGCTCCATGTGCCTGACAACGTGAGCGTGAGCACAAATACATAAACACAAGACCAGCCATGGTGGCGCACGCCTGTAGTCCTAGTGCTAGGGAGGCGGACACAGGAGGATCAGTATGAATCTGAGCTGCATAGTGAGGTGCTGTACCAAATACATTTTTTAAAAAAAAGAAGAAAGGCTGACCAGATAGCTCAGCGGACTAAAGCGCCTGCTTAGGCAGAGCGCAGTGGCCAGGGTTCGATCCCCAGCATGCCGTGCGAGTCCGGCCCCGCCCCCGGGGTGCACTGAAACTGCAATTGAGACTGGGTGTGGTGGCGCGCACCTGGAATCCCAGCGCTTGGGAGGCTAAACACAGGAGAATCACTACGAGTCTGCTCTACATGGTGAGACCCTGTAGACCCTATAGACTGTATCCTAAATACATAAAAAAAAGATACATAAGTACAAGTATAGTGAGCCCAGAAGCACTGAGGAGGCCACTCCCTCAAGGCAGAGGGCTCAGCCGGGGAGCCCACCTCCAGGCTCCTGTGGAGAACCTCAGGCCAAACTCAGCAGGCGCAGGAGGCGCGCTGCCAGTACCTGCCTCTGGGCTGTAGCGGTCCCAATAAATGTCAGGAGGTGAAGAGCACTCAACAGCTATGTCAGGGTGCAGTGACATCAAACTAAAGTAGTAAGAAAATTTAAAAAGTTTTATGCTGTAAAAAGTAAAAACGAACTTATAAGAACTCATTAAAAAAAATTTAGATGCTTATTTGGCAGTATTACAACTCCATAACAAAGTTGTTTGTTTTTTTTTTTTTTTTCCAATATAAAATGACCTTTTTCCTATTGTCTTAGGCAATTTTCTTTTTCCTCATGTAGTTGAGGCTGGGCTTCAACTCACAGTAATACTCCTGCCTCAGCCTCCCAACTGCTAGGATTGCAGGTATGCACCACCACGTCTGACTTTATGTACAGGTGTTCCCAACTTACTGATGGCTGGACTTAACATTTTTCCCCTCAGCCACAGCACACTCATGCAGCAGTTCTATCTTTCACATTCAGTACAGTATTTGACTGGTTTCCTGAGCTGTTTCACACTCTACAGCAGACTCTGTCGGGTTGTACAGGTGAACTTTTGTGTTCTCAACACCCGGAAGGTGGGCCAGGCTAAGCAAGCTGGTAGACTCACTACATCACGCACACTTACACGCTCCAGTGCATTCACTGGGATGGAATCCCACACTGTTAATTAAGTAAAGGAACATGGTGTATCATTATTTTAGATCTTTTAAAATTGTGTTTTCTCAGATTTGTTTTATTGCTAATCTTTCTGTGTCATGAGATTTTGGCATGTTTTGGTTGTACTAGGGATTCAAGTCAGGGGCTCTGTACTAAACTACAGCCCCAGTCCATTTTTCTGTTTTCTTTTGAGACAGAGTCTCACTAAGTCATTAAGGTGGCCCAGATGGGCTCAAACTTGCAACTCTCCCGCCTCAGTCCTTTGGCTGGTCAGAGGCGGTTTTCATCAGGTATACACACTCGGACTTCATCCTGCAGCTCCACTCCATGTGCATGGGCGCCGGAGTCACTTTCAGCCCCAACCCAGCTACTACCTGTGTCTGCTTCTGCTCCCTCCTTGCCCAGAAGCGCGCTGTGACAGACACCTGGGGAAGGCACAGGGGGCTCGAGACCAAAGCACCAAACCCACAGGAAGCCCAGACTCAAGTACCTCCTCGTCCCCGGGCTCCACAGGCTGGCAAAGCCAGGGTGTGTCTGCCAGCTTCCCGAGCTGCTGGTCCATCTCGGTGAGGGCGGCCCCGAGCCGCTCCTTCTGGGGGGGGTCCAGCTGCTGCTCCCAAGAGGGAAACAAACCCAGCTTTTGACTACAGTCAGACTCAGGTCAGCAAAGCCAGGCAGGGAGCGCTGTTGCTCAGGGGACCAGGGAAAATTCCCCAACAGCCACAGCAGGGGGGCCAAGCCCAGCAGACCCTGCCTGGGTGGGTATAGACAAACAACAGAACCACAAGTCACAGGGCAGCGCCTGCCTCCTGCTCCCCCTGTGGGTTCCTGGTCATGTAGGGGCCTGGGCTGCATGCCTGCACCAAATGCAGCAGTGCTGGGACATAGCAAAGATGACAGCTCTGGCATCTGGGGGCAGCACGACTTTTGCAGCAATGCGCAAGGGTGACTACTAGATGAGGTCTCTAGCAAGAGCTCGCCATGTCTTGCCCCCAAGGACAGGGAGGCCATCACCCCATCCCGGCCTCTGAAATTCAGCACTACCCCCACTCCCCCAGACCAACTGGCCACCCTGTTCCACGGGGCCAAGTGGGAACAGGTGACAGACAGCACAGACTGCAGAGGCAGAGGTACCTTTCTGTTGACCCAAGGACAGGCCACCAGAGAACATGCCACCAGCACTCCAGGCAGACCAGGGGCTTCAAGGCCACTGCTTAGGTCTGGGCTCCCTGGACCACATGGTGCTGTACTCTGTCCAGTGTCCTCGTGATAGCCACCACAGCCTCCGCAGGAGCTTACCAAGGCCATCTTCCCGGCCAGTAGCAGCTCCGTCTCACTGCGCAGAGCTCTGACATTGTTGACCATTTCTTGGACAAAGCTGCAGTTCAGCCCCTACGAAGAAACAAAAGGAACACCATATAGAGGGCTGAGCCTGCAGGAGGAGAGGAGCCAGATGGAAGAGACCAGGTACCTCCGCAGTTCTGGCCTTGCCATACACGCGGTCCATGGCCTTAGAGCTGGCATTGACGGCATGGGCAAGTTCCTGTTCCATGTCATGGTGAGACTGGGCTATTTCCCGGATACTAGCAGGAAGAGAGAAATACATACATGCATCAGGTTGAGGGACACATGGAGCTGCAGGGCTGGGCCAGCAGGCCGGTGGGGGGGGGAGCCCCAACTGTAGCTACTAGGACAGGATGGCCCTGTAATCACTTCAACAGCGAACAGCACAAGGCTTGAAAAGCCAATCTGACATACAGAACAAGAGCAGGCAGCCGAATAGCCCAGCAGACAGGCCCACTGCAGGCCTGCAGTGATGCCCCAGGCCCCAACACAGCCTTCCTGGATGGCATGGGCCCTGTGCTAAGAGGGGACAGTTCGAGGCTACAGCCAAGGAGCAGCCCTTGTGCGACAGGCAGACCAACTGGAGAAGAGTGCTGGGCAGGCAATGAGGGCTTTCCAGACCAAGGCCCACCAGGGACAGGGCTGGAGAGTTTACATCCACTGCCCAGTAACCGACAGGGGGAAGCCACCAGCAGCAACAGTGCCCACCACTGCAGAGGGAGGCAGCAGGGGCCAGGAGGCAGGAGCTGGGTCGGGCTGCCTATGCCTGCCAGAGCCAGGCAAAAGAAGGGAACAGAGCACCAGGCCCAGCCCCAGAGGACCCAGCATCCCAGCCAGCGCAGAGGAAGAAGCCCAGAGATGTGGTAAGGGGCAGCCAACAAGTCTATGCCTAGAGGGAGAGGGCAGGACGGGAAGGGCTACAGGGTGGGGCACTGTGAAACACTCTTCAAAAGCAGAACAGAGAAGAAAATGCCTGTGCTGCACCTGTTTAACTGACAGCAGAATGGAGATGCAGTTGGGGTGTCCCGGGAAAGCAGGTGGGCTCTGAGATTTGTGAGTGAGGATGAAGCTATGTGCAGACCTCCAGCCACCTCGGAGCACTGGAGGCCACAGAGACCCACACACAAAACCCAGAGAAGCCACGGAGGTGGGGCCCACCTGTGAATTAGGACCCCTGCCGCCTGGCCAAACTGGTCCATCTGCATGGCCTCCTCCTCAGACAGGATCTCGGGGTGCAGCGAGAAGGAAGGCGGGCGGGGCAGCTCGCACTTCTGCTTGTCCTCCCAGGACTTCAGCGTGTTCTCGAAGGCCTGGGTGTGAGAGCCCAGGATTACACCCCCTAGCCAGGGACAGACACATCGCCTTCAAGGCACCCTGGCACTTTAAAGGAAAGCATGAAGCACTCTGGCTCCTCGTGCAAAAGCACACAGGCCAGCACTGCAACTCAGCCTGGCCCGGCCTCTACATAGCTGACCTTTGTTGTACAGTTTCTGAGACAGGGTCTCACTGCATAGCTCAGGATGGTCTCACACTCACAGCAATCCTCCTGCCTCAGCCACCCAGGCGCTGGGATGACAGGTTTGTACTCTCACACCTGGCAGGGCAGCCATCCTTACCCTGTCTCTGGTCAGCATCTGTGCCCGGTTCTTATGGACGATCCGAATGTACCCTGGTGACTGGATCCAAGCCTCTCCATCCACCTGCACAGGGACGCCCTCGTCGCCCAGGATGGAAATCTTCACCGTGCGACACTGCACAGACACCACAGCCGTCAGCTGTGCACCAAAGCACCAGGGCTACCAGCCACTGCTGCCTCTGGAGGGATGCTGTGCCCACAGCCCTGAGCCTGCTGCTGCCTGCTCTGTCCTGCGTGGGGCAGGAGGCCTCAGCATGCAGATGTGGGGGCATTAGCACCCAAGGACCCTGTCAGATGCTGACACCTCCAGAATGAATCCAACAAGAGCAATTCTTGTTTCTCTTTGCAACATTGTCAAAACAAAAAACGTGACTGTGGAGCCAGGCAAGCACAGGGAGACACTGGCCAGGCCCAGCATGAGTGCAGGCCATGGGTGTGCTCAGCCCTGCCCAGGACATCTCACTTCTGAGGACCCCTCCCAGGCAGGCAGGTGGGCCTCCAAGCCCTATGTGCTGCCCTCCCCGCACAGAATCTCACGCACCAGCCAGAGGCCAGCTCTGCCCCACGCGCTGCCAAGCCCAGCACCCTCAGGGCACAGAGCATCCAGTGGGACAAGTTTGAAGTGAGTTCACTGTCACACACAGCCACAAAAGGGCTCTGGGCCAGGAAGGAGAGCTGTCCAGAGCCCAAGCACAGGTGCCGCCTCCCAGTAGGGGCCATGCTCGGTGGCCAGCAATTTGGGCATTCCTAGGTCAGGCCATCCAAAGGGCCCAGCCAGACTTTGGGGACCAAGGTCAATACCTGGGCAATTCGGTGGTACTGCAGCTTAATCACACGCGACATAGCCATCTGCATGCTACCAAACACAGCGACCACCTCCAAAACCTTGTCATCAAATGACGGAGCTGCAAAAGTCTGAAAAGACAGGCGTGAGAGCCGACCTCTGCCCTCCTTGCATACTGGAGACCCACACAGGGCCCTCCTACCAGGCAGTCACCACAGAAGAGGGGCAGCTGCCAGATTCGGCTCCCCGAGCCCAATCCCACACCTGCCTCTTCCTGGCTGGAGTACGTTACTCAGTCCCTGCCTACCTTACTTCCTCAACATCTGAGGGGGCAGTGTGCACTCTCCTCAATGGGGGTGGGAGCATGCATGTGCTAACATGTACAGCTTGAACACTAGCCAGAGGCTTGTGGCACAAGTGCTGGCAGAGAGAAGCCACACCCTGGTGAAAAGCTCCCTCAGCACAGGACCTCTTCCCTGATTCCACAGGCCTGCGCAGTGCAGGCCCTGGAGCCCTCCTCTATTCCTCGGCAAAGCCACTGGATGCAGTCATGACCCTCCCCAAGTGCTCCACGTGCCCAGCCCTTGCCCCTCCCCATTCGGGTCCCTCCAGACCACTGACAGCCAGGCTTTCAGAGGTTCCAATGACACAAACAGCCCACTGCAGTACACGTGCCACAGGTTTGCTACCACTGCTCTAGATGGTGAGCCCATGCGTGACAGGCCATCTGCCTGGCCTCCTCCACATTCTCAGCCAGCACCAGGATGGTGCTCAATGCACCAAATCACAGGACAGCACCCAGCCCTCCCTGCCTTCACCAAGTACGTACATCATCTTCTTTGGTGCCCCCCCAGAAGTTCGTCCCACCAGCATAGCTGGGAATGTTGAGGACAGCAATTCCCTGAAGACTAGGAAGGGGGATTGGACGTCCATCACACTGAGCAGCACAAATGCAAGGAAAGACAAGAGACCTGGCATGAACACCCCCTTCTCTGTGCTCAGGCGGGGGGAGGGGAGGCATGCCCACAGGATACATAGCTCTCCCCGCTCACCTCCAGCAGGACCTTCTGCTCCAGGTTCTTGTAGGTCCTATGCAGCAGCTCTTTGGTGCCCAGGACCCCATACCACATCATGTTCTTGGTCCGGCTCCTAGAAATAGAAACACAAGCTTGAGGCAGGTACAGGCTTCCTTCTCAGCTATGAAGCCTGTGACAGCCCTGGTTACTAACCAGGCACCCTCAGCAGGCCAGGCCAGGCCAGGCCAGAGCCCTCATCTCAGAGATGTCCAGGTATTAAATGGAGACTTCCATAAAAAGTAACACTTTGTCAAGAACATCCTCATGGGCCAGCCAGATAGCTCAGCAGATTAAAGCACCTGCTTAGCAGACACAGGGACTGGGGTTCCCATGCCATGCCAGCCCACCCACAGGGCACAGAGACTATGATTGAGACTGGATGTGGTGGCATGCACCTGTAATCCCAGCTCTTGGGAGGCTGAAAACAGGAGGATCACTATGAGTCAGATTTGTGTAGTGAGACCCTACAGACCCTGTACTAAATACATAAAAATAATAAGTAATTAAAAAAATAAAAAAAGAACATCCTCATGCTCTAAAGGCAAATAAGTAAACCTGGAAGAAGGACACCTCATGAGCCTCTTGCCGCTACAAAATGATACCTCCATAGAAAATACGGAAAATGTAGAAGAACACAAGCCCCAGGGCCTGTGTGCCTGCCTGCTGCAGGTACTGGCAACAGGCAGCAGCAGCAGGCAGCTGGGCATATGCGCCATGGTGCTGCCACCATGGTAACTTCTTAGCACACCTCTGCGCTCTTTTGTTTTTTGACAGCATCTTGCTATGTAGCCCTCAAACTCAGTGATCCTCCTGCCTCAGCTCTCCCCACAACCCGGTGCTGAGATCACAGACCTGTGCCACCTTGCCCAGCTATCTGCACTTTTTATCACCTGCAGAGCCCACTCCTGGGGACCATGGTGACTGGTCTCCTAATGGCCGATCTGTATGACTTTGCCAACCCCCAGGGAGCCACCATCAAAGTGGCTCCCCTTCTACCCACACCTCTGCTCCCATAGTTAGGCACCAGGTCCCATCCCTGCCTTCTGCCCTCATATCCTGCTCGTCCTCTACCCACCAACCAGGAAACCACCCGGAGATGGGAGAAGCCTGGAGAACAGACACACAAGCTCGGGAGGCAGGCCACACCCACCTGCACTTCTCTGGGTGCTCGTCCCGCTTGTTGTTAAAGTCCAGCGATATCTTCGCATCCAGGCCAATGCCAAAGTAGTTGTTCATGACACACTTCTCTGTGTAGTACTCTCTAGGAAGGGGAATATTAAACTGATTACCAGAGCCCCTATGGCAAGTGTGTTTCACAGATTCCTATCATTTCTCCCAAGCAGCAGAACCAAAATACTGTTTTTAGGGCCTGTTTTTGTTTTCTGCAGTGCAGACCTTGTAAACCAGGGCCCAGGACCACATTTTGCTACTGTAGTTTTGATAACAACTTTACTGAGATATAATATGTGGCCTTTTATAACTGGCTCCAAGGGTGCCAGGGAGATAGCTCAGTAGAATAAGTGCCTGCCTGGCAAGCACAAAGTCCTGAGTTAAATCCCTGGTACCACACACACACATACAAGAAAGAAAGGAAGGAAGGGAGGGAGACACAGACAGACAGACAAGACGAGATGAGACAACACAAGGCAACTGGCTCCTTTCCCTTACATTTTCAAAGCTCATTTACTCTGCAGCCATCTATCCAAACATTGTTCCATGGTATGAAAATATCACACTGTTAAAAATTGATCACCTGTGCTGGCCCCGCCCCTGGGGCAGAGTGAGAGGGCGATTGAGACTGGGCATGGTGGAGCTTGCCTCTAATCCCAACACTTGGGAGGCAGAACAGGAGAAGCACTATGAGTCTGATCTATGTAGTGAGACCCTGTAGACCCATACTAAAATACAAAAAAAAAACCAAAAAAGTTCAGCTGGTCTGGCTGGCTGTCATTGTAGACAGAGGCTCATGGCTCTCCCACTGGAGCGACAGGCACAACTGTTGGTTCCACACACCTTGTTCCCTGTTCTAGAGCTGCTAGGCTGTCTATCACAGCTGCACCCCAGTGTCAGCACAGATCTTACGGCACATAAGCTCCTCGTCTCAAGCCTAGAGTTCAAAGCACCTCCCCCAGGCCCCTGGCCTTACAGAGCCATCCCCAAATTAAAAGGAGAGCAGCTTGCAAACAGCGTCCTGGCCTGCCTACAAGCTGCTCTTTGCAGGAACAGTGCTGGAGGCACTCTCCCCTATGGCCTCCGCCCACTCCTGTGCCCCTTGGCCCCTGGGGTCCCCTCTAGGACAGGTGAGGAAGGAGCAGCAAGCAGAGATATCCTTGATGTTCCCATAGAAACCCAAAGTGGAGGGGAGCTTGGGAAAGGCTTTGGGCAGAACTGGGCTCCACTGCTGCAGGAGTTTACAGGCCACCTGAGAATCCAATACCACACCAAAGTGCTCTGAAGAAAGACCTCATTCAACAGCTGGCTACGTGGGGGACAGGAGATAGCTCAGTGACACAAGTGCCTGCCTGGCAAGTGCAAGGTCCTGAGTTCAATCCCTGGTATCAGGAAAAAAAAAAAAAAAAATAGCTGGCTACAAGCAAAGTTTGGGAACAGCACTGTCTGCTAAGCTGCAGCCCATGTGACTCACAGCATCTTTTAGGTCCTGGGAAAAAGAGGGGAAAGCTGAGAAGAAAAAAAAAAAAAAAAAAGGCCATGGGGCTGGAGCAGGGGCGAGACAGGGCACAGGGCCTGGGAGGTCAGCAGCTGCCA